CTGTTGTTACCCAGGCTGGAGTGCAATTGCGCGATCTCGGCTCACTGCAACCTCCGTCTCCTTGGTTCAAGCAATTCTCCTGCCTCAGCCTCTGGAGTAGCTGGGACTACAGGCGTGCGCCACCATGCCCAGCTAATTTTTGTATTTTTAGTAGAGACGAGGTTTCACCATGTTGACCAGGATGGTCTCGATCTCTTGACCTCGTGATCCACCCGCCTCGGCCTCCCAAAGCGCTGGGATTACAGGCTTGAGCCACCGCGCCCGGCCAATTCTCAGGTTTTAATGAAATGGATAGAACTTCAGTGAGTTGGGAGAGCTCATGTAGTCCCCCAAAAGCCCTTTTTCTAAGGAAAAGCAGAACTGTGATGGGGTCAGGTTTAGGATTCTCAGCTCTGCTCAGCAAAATCTTAGGTCATTACAGGTATGTGGGGAAAACTCAGTAATCCGGCAAACTATTAGACCAACCTTTGCATGTTTTTAACTTTTTAAGGACATCTTTAGAGCTCAATTTCCATCTCTTTGTTCTAAAAACATTTTATAATTGTCAAAAATTTGGATACTGTTATGTACCAATAGTGGTTTTACTATTTGCTTTTAATAAGTGGCAATGTCTTGTGAAAGCTAACCTGACATTTGCCCTTCCCTTCGAGGTCTTTCTGTTATATTGGTGTCCAGCTCATTTGTTAAAACTCTGGATTTGTTCCTTCGACCTCAGCCAGGTTTTGATTAACTAAAATAATTCTTGAGTTCTAGCTCCCATCATGTAAGCCTTAAGGGCCTTCAACTTAGGATCTTCTACAACTTTTAATTAATACCCTTCTAATCACATTCTCCAAGCCTATTGCTCCAACAGACCATGAGCTTCTGAAAGGCAAAGGCTCTGGCTTTTTTCTTCTTTGTGTTTCTAGCACCTAGCACAGTAAGTACACAATGAATATTTGTTGTACTGTTTTAATATGTCATTCTCTGTCAAAGCCTGATCATTCAAAGATAATCTGTAGCAGCAGACCTCATAGATAAATCAAAAAGGAAGAACATGAAACATTAGAAATTTTGTGAGATGTTTTCCCCACTTCTCCTCAAAACATTCTATTTCTTCCTCCATAATCTCATCAAGATATAACTAAGGTATGATCATAGGTTCACTCATTTTTCACATTAACTGCTTTTCAGGAAAGATACAATTGGGTATCACTCAGATTAATCAATAAGCCTTGCATAAATGGCTATACTGTAATTGATTATCCTTACTGGTGCTGGAGATAAAATCTTCATCATCATCAATGCCTGATCCAGAAAAACTGAGGTGTCTGTCTCTTTCATCTTCATTTTCTTCATTTGGCTCCCAGCCTGCTGAGATGGTATTTGAAGACGTACCTGTTGTGGTGACTTGCGTTAGTGGCTGAGCTAGATGCCAAGCAACCCACTTGCAAAGGAAGAAAATCAGGCACAGAAGGTATAATGGATTTCCCAGGATTTTATAAAGAAAATGAGGGAGTTGGTTTGCATACCCCAAATTCTTATGTTCTGGTCTCCAAAGTTGATACATAAATCTCAAAACAATTGGCTATGATCTTTAAAACTGAATATTCTCTTTAAGAAAGCTAAAAGAGCATTATGTGTGGACATAATCTCTCCAAATAAGTTTTTAAAGGCCAGTGAAACCCCCCCCAACACTTTCAGACGCATTTATTACTAACTCATTAAGCATATGCCATTAAAGTCAAGTCATCAAGGACAGAATGGAAAGGTTTCACATGTGTCTTTTTTTTTTGTCAAGACATCTCCAGAAAAATGTTGGAATCTACACCTGTGTCAATCATTTCATTGTGTTCACAATTTGCTAATTCATTTTTTATCTTCTCTAGCATCAGATCAGTGTAGCTGCAAACACAGATAGAAGCTTAGTTCTATCTGTGTTTGCAGCTTAGTTTGGGAACTAAGTATTCTTAGTTCCCAAGAATACTTCAGCATAGAGCAAAACCATGAAGCCAATTAACAGAGAAATAATTCCTGGCATTATTAGGCCACCAAGAGGGTTAACTAAAGTGAACTGTAGTTGAGATTTTGAGAAATTTTTACTTTTTTTTTTTTTTTTAATAAAAAAAGGAGATGAAAAATGTCTACTTCTCAGTGGTTACTATAGAAGATGTCTCTTTACTAAAAAGGGGTTTTCTACGTTTTGAATGAGATTCAGGCTATCTTAGGGAATGAGCATTTGTCTTTTCATACGATTCCTGTCTACCCCAAGAATAGTTCCACTGACGAACATTTTCTATATTTTTTCAGATCTAGCTGTGCTATTTCCTTATGAAAATCAAAGACTTTTTATGACTGTGGTAATTTTAGAATATACATGAATAATCTTTCAGAGTCACAATTTTGCAATATCACTTAAAAAAATCTTGTCCCCTTTTCATAGTCTCTGTATTAGCCTTCTCCTGGGCAATACTAATCCACAGATTAGAAAGAAGAAATCCTATTAGTGCTATACAAGCAAACAGATACCAGAGTTCATGATCCTTCTAAAGTTGTAACAAACATTTATGAGAATAGAAGGGACTTTAGGCTTTAACAACATCCCATTGGTCAATAAAAATTATTCAAGGCTGTTAAGAAAACATATGCTATGAGATAATCATAACTCATTACCAGCCATTTGTGTTGTTGTGTGATGATTCTTGGACTCTGATGGTGGAAACCACCATGAAAACCAATCCTGGATTTCTTGCCTCTTGGTTGCTGTCTCAGTTGCTGTGGCACTAGTGCTCATCAAAGCTGTTGTAATCGTGATTGAATTGATTGTTGAAAGATTAATTAAAAGTTCCTAAGAAATAGCATTGAATATGCTTATGCTCTTTTACTACTCAAGAGAATCATCTATATTTGATATGGATAGTGAAAAGAAAGGGAAAAAGCAAAAAAGTTCCATTTTTTTCAGAGGCCCAAGCTGGAGTTCATAGGATGTCAGAGAGGGAAGGATCTTAAATATCATCTGGTTCATGCTCCTTGTCTTAAAGATTTAAAGATTGTGCTGGACAAAGCTTCTGACTTGTCTGAAGTCAGATGCCTAATTAGCAAGAGTGAGGGCTCCAGGAACGCATGAGAGCTGTCTTTGAATTTTGAAAGTCTATATAATATAAAAGAGAGATTTAACTTTTGTCTCTGGACCCATGAGGCCAAATTAGGACCTGTAGTGAAAATTTCAGAGAGATGAATGTTCTTCCAAATGTTGGATTTTAAAAAGCAATAATCTGAACGATCCAACAATGAACTTCTTCATAAAGTATTATGTTTCCCAACATCAGGAAGGTCACTTGGCAGGAAAGTTGTATAAGAGATTAAATTATTAGAAGTGTTGATTGAACCACAGCATCTAACATCCTTTCTAAATCTGAGTTTATGATTATAAAACTCAGCTCTTCAGAATCCTAGTTCCTTAATCTTCTATACAATCTTGGGCAAACAATATCATTCTCCAAGAATTTAGGATATGATATTTCTGCCAGCAATAGATACATAAGCCTAACAATCCAACACACAGGGAAAGTGACATAGAAGTAGCAGACTAAAAAAGATACCTTTCCACTTTTTTCCATTTAGATTCCAAATCCCTCTAACAACCTTGCCCACGGTAATTTCTTATATCAAACTATATTTTGCAAAGGAGAACAGGACATTTTGAGTCCCATTCTTTGAAAATAGAATAATCAATCAGGAAAGACAGAGATGAAGTGACCCCAATGATCTCGCTAATAAGGCCAGAAGCAAGAGTAATGATTTAAAAATTTCCAGAGACTGCCATTTCTAATGCACAAAAATGTACATCATAAGCATATGAGCTAACAGCAGACAAAAAGCTGAGAACAAGTTGAAGCAGAGAGGCTGAAACCATCATCCCTAAACACAAAAGTAAGGTGAAATAGATTTTTTTCCAGCTATCAAGAAAGCCCAAAAGCAAAAATAACCCAAGATGAAACACTGCCAAGAAGACCTATTCCTTCACATTGTTTGTCCTATGAAGCTAAACATTGTCAACATTTATAAATAGCATTTTCTTTATTCTGCAATCTTTCTATCCCCCCTCCCCACCTCTGCATGATCTTAGACATTGTGATATGGCAACCACAAGGTAACATGAGCACTATTTTTCTCACGATTATTTATAGAAGTAAAGAATATAATTTATCCAGTGTCACATAAGCCAAACAAATGTAAAGAATCATCTTTCCATGTTTATTACTTCCCTCTGCAGAAAGAATGTCTAGTTATTTTGGAATAAGGCCATTACCTCCATCAATAAAAGTTAATAAATGAAGGTGTTTGTAATCTCCCATTTTTACAGATTTTGAATCGGTTTTCCCAAAGCTCCTTTATCAATACACTTTGCAGGGATATAGAACTAAGAGCCACACACCCAGGGAACTTATTAGAGGCCTAGAGTCTGATATGGAGAAACAGGTCATTTCCTACATTTTACTGTTGAGATTTTAAGTGTCCAAAGAAGGGTTCAGGGTCTATACTTTGATAAGAGAAATATACATTTCCTTCTCTTATTATTGGTTGTGAGAATCAGATCAGTAGGAAGGAGGAAACTGCACTTTCAGACAGGCTTCTTTCTAAAGGACATTTTCTCAGTGAATCACAGAGTCCATTCATTCATTTGTAGTTTTCCATAATTTCATTCATTCATTCAAAACTATTAATTCACAGTTTTCCTTCCTCTGATGGAAAAATCATTCTGATTCTACATATATGTTGCCAAAAGGAAAACAAACCGGACATTTACAAATATCAATCATCCCCAGATCCACAAGCCTTTCTGATAAATAAAGTGGTACCAGACCCTATTCTCACTAAGAATGGCAAAGAAGCTTTGGCATGATAATGGACGTCCTCTCCCCTAACACTAAAAGAGCTGATATTCAGGAGAGCTGGCAAGCAAAAGATGAAGCAGTTTACCTGTCACTGATGTTGTTATGAGATCCTGAGTCATAGGCTGTGAATTACCAAACCAGAACCATAGCCAGTTATTTTGCTCCTGAGCTGCTGTGTGGCTGTTTGAGTGCACAGTTGAACTAACTGGATCAACTATGAAAATATCATTTAATGACCTCTATAAATCTTTACTTTTAGTTCTGTCTATATATGATGTCTGTGTCTATCACTGAATAATTAGAAAAGAAAAATCTAGGCCTGGTTTTATCTTTCCAGACTCCTAATGTCTCCCACAATCTTAGGACAACATCAGAAATGCAAATTCCACATGGGTATCAATTTCATGCTATTCATTCTTCAAACGGAACCCCCTGAATTCATGACGAAAGCAAAATCAAACATCAACTTAATAACCTGTGAAGGAAAGAGATTTTCAGTTTACTTGATTGGGTGACTGAGCCATGAACTGGAGGTTTTCGAAGCAGAATTTCAAGCAGTTGCTTTCATTCATTTATCTTTCGATTATCTTTGGATTGCTAGTGTGTATTTTTCACNGCCTAGCATCGTACCCAGGTAGCTTGTGATGACAACTGGCATTTCAAAGCTCCACCCACACACATCGGCCTCAAGTCAAACTTCATTCTTGAGCAGGAACTTGGCAAAGAAAACGTGTTCAAAGCGTCAAAATCAGATAAAGTTTCCTCAAGCATCCATCGCTTCTGTCACTTTTTATTCCAATTCAGTATGTGTTTCTACCAAAAAACCAGAGTTGCCAAAGTTTGTTTCTCAAATTAGAGAAAATATCATTAGTAACATTTTTGCAATATAAAATCTCTTATTTGACTCTCAAGTTTGACTTGAGTTCAGGATGTTTCCTTATTGAAGCAGAATGGCAAAAACCACCAGGATAAATATCTAATTTAAGCCAGTCGAGATTTTAAAAAAACACTTTAAATTATGCATCCCTTTGAAAATCTATGTTGTGACCTCCCTCCTCAAAAAAGCGACCTTACACATACACACACGCAAAATTTTGCATATAAATGGTTAGAGGATGCCTATGGCCTATCACTGAATCCATGAACCCTAGGTTAAAAACTTTGACTCTATCTATATCAAATGCCAATAGCTGGCACAATAGATTCTGTCCTCTAAATTAAGCTTGTCTACCCCACATCCTGTGGACCACATGCGGTCCAGGACGGCTTCGAATGTGGCCCAACAAAAATTCATATACTTTCTTAAGACATTATGAGATTTTTTTTGCAGGTTTTTTTTGTTATCTCATCAGCTATGGTTAGTGTTAGCGCATTATATGTGTGGCCCAGGACAATTATTCTTCCAGTGTGGCCCAGGGAAGCCAAAAGATTAGACATCCCTGATGTAAAGGACACATTAGGTCAGAACAGACAGTAGAGAAACAGGAGCCAATTTTACCCACGAAGCCCTCAGATAAACCTGAGCATCCCCTGGAAAATCTGCAGACAGCACGTTCTCACCTCAGAAACTTTATTAAAGATGCAAGTTCCCACCACCCTCACCCAATAGTACACCAGGCAAAAAATAGTACCAGAGGAAACAAACAAGAACAAGATAGAAATAGGCTTTATTTTTGTCTTCCTGAAAGGAGTGATATGAGGGAAAAACGAAAAGCTACTGCCTAGCCAGCAGAATTTCTAATTTTCCCCACCCAAATAGGCCACACCAGATTTGGAAAAAAAAAAAAAAAAAGAGAAAGAAATTATTTCTTTGACACCCAGAAGACAAGGAAATACAGTGTTCCAAGGCAGGAGTCTGCTTCCTGAGTTGGTTTAGGTTTCTTGATCTCGAGAGTTCCAGATCACCAATAGGAAGAGGCTGATGACACTCAAGATAAACAGCCTCCTGGAAGCCCAAAGCCACCCAGATGGTTGTTCTTACTAGCTGTCCCTATTGCCACCCACTACAGGCCCTTCACGAAGGAATGAGCCAGCGGAGCCAAAGACAGGCGTCTTCTATGCTCTCAGCCAGTGCTCCTCTTGACCCCTGCCCTCCTGCAATGCATGAGGGAGGTTTTGCAATTACTCCCTCTCACTCTGTCCCAGCTCTCAGTGCAACAGCGACGAGGTTTTGCAAATTTTCTCACTGGACTTTGAAAATATGATTCTATTCAGGAACCTATCAGTGCTGACTCTTCCTGGCATGCCGTTATTATGCTCAGTTTTCCACCAGGTTGTTTGCTTTGGTACCTTACTTTGCAGGAAGTGATCCACTTGGAGCTGCTACTGGTCCCATTGAGTCCTACAGTACTTCAAAGACTTTTAGGTTAGCCCTGGACTCCTCTGGTAGTCTAATTAGTCTCTCTCTTTTTTAGCTGCTGAAAGAAACTTAACCAATTTATCCGGGAGGAAAAAGGCACAACTCATTTCTCAGCCCACATCCTGAACCATGTTTTAGTTAAGTCTTGTAGCACTCCTTTCCCTTGATTTCTAAACTAATAGTATGTAGTCTCCATGAAGTTAAGTCCATGAAATCCAAGCATCCTAGAGCAGTGTCTGGCATACAGAAGACCTCAAATATTAATTGAATGAATAAATATCTCAGCAATCCTTGCTTCTTTTCAATATTACTTCCTAACCACGTTTATCCTTAGATCCCAAGATTCTAATAGGCCTGGTACATAGTAGATTCTCAAAATACATTTGCTGACTAACTTAGGAAGGGAAGATACCATTCTTAAGAGATATTCTATGGGGGTTAAGAAAATGTGCTAATTGCCTTTTTAAAAATACACATGAAATACTATTTTATATAGGCTATTAGTGGCTTGAATGTTAACTTCATCTAGTCCCCACAAGTTATGTTTTGTCAGGAATTTCTCCTTTGGTGGGAAGTGATACTTTAGGGTAGACCTATTCTGCTTCCTGCTGAGACCACTAATTATTGTGTTTGCCAACATCTGACAAAATTGCATGCCATAATGATAAGCACCTTCGACGTGGTTACTTTAAACAGACTGGGAACCCAAGAAGCAGTGAGTGGCTAGCAGCACTACCTGCCTTGTTTGCAGAAGCCTCTCTCAAGAAGAGTTGCCCATGGGACTACCAACAATAAGCTGATGCAACCTCAAGAGTGTCAATAATTCAAGAAAGCATGGGCAGCTTGAAAAAACTGCTTTTTGAAAGGCTTCAAAGAATTTGCAGGGAGTGATGGGAACCTATTTGTCTCATGCCCTCAGCAAGCGACTGACAGAAATTTAAAATGCTATTGAGCAAGTGACCTTAAATGAAATCACAGTGCTGGGGAGGTTTCCTTGGCTTCTGGGCAATGAGGAATAGGAAGGGCCCTGTCTTGAGTATTCACAAGCCAGCGCATTTCTGCCACACTCTTTGGAGGCCCAAGTTCCAACCCTCAGGAGCCGTGGCCAGGAAAAGAGAAAATCCACACCATACTAGGAAAACTGCTCCAGACGCAGATGCCCTATTTGAGTTTGATTAATCCTCCATTGGAGGAACATGGCCCATCTGGAAGTCCATTTCCAAGCAAACCATAGAAGAAAAGCCAAGAGGAAAACAGAAGAGGCAAGAGAGATGTAAACACTTTCCAGTGGAGCTGATGCACGAGGGGCAAACTCCAAAGGAATCAAATGTAATGTTTACATACTTCCACTCTTGTAGTCCTAAGTAATGAATTACCCCCAAATGCCAAGTAAGTATTGAGATCCTTCCCCAACAGGCTGGAATATAGAACTCTCAAGTTTATTTAATTTGATCAGAAAGCTCCTCCAGATATGCTTCTTTGGACCAAAAATGAAGGAATTGTTAGTAAATCATGATTGATGAAAATCCCTGAATATTACACTACCAAAAATATGTGTATAAATCAGATTAAAACATAACACAGTTGACCCATTTATGCCTACTCTTCCACTATTGGAACACTAAGCATGTAGGAGTTATTTACAGCCTACTGCTCAGGTCATCACCAAGGCCTGATTGCAAAAATTCAAAGAATTGCAACCTCAGGCATAAATGTGTTTTTAAAAAAAGGCATAAATGGGTTTTTTTAAAAAGTGCTAGTGGAGTGGTATGCAAACTCTATGGTCCCAACTTTATAAAAACAATCTTATCCATAGGTGGATAAGAACAAGAAGGAAACATGCAAAAATGAAAATAGTTTTCATATCAGGCTTGAATTGTCACTGTAACCCTAGTGATATGAGAATAAGGAGGGCTCTCCCCAAAATAAGACTTCCAATATGGCACTTATTATGCCAAGGTAAGAAAAACAGTTACAGATGAGGAAAAAAAAGGTAAACAGCAGTAGTCAATGAATGCAATGCACTGGCAACCACAAGAGTCCACTTCCCCTAATGGTGTCACCAACTTCCAGCTGTCTAGAGATGAGAAAATCAGGATGTGAGTGGGCAGTAGGAAGGTCAGAGGCATTTTTCTGAGGAAATGCTATTGGGAAGCACAGTGATTTATTCTCCTTACTGGTAGCAGGGGTTCTGTCTGTGCTGTCGGTGATCCAGGGACCGTCGTCATCTGGGATGGGTGGTGAAGTTGAAAAGTAGTTATAAAAGATGTAACCTCCTGAAGTGCTGCTCCTTTCACTGGAGGATCCACTGCTTACGTCGTCATCAGTAGGGCTGCTGGGGTTGATGTCCTCAGGATTCGTTCTGTATTCTCCTTTCTTGACATAGCGGGTGCCGTCTCGGTTAACAATAGCTGGGAGAGAGAAAAGGTACTTACAGAACTTTGCAGCTCATATTTTGAGTATGTGGATTAGCATTTAATGTAGTGATTTCAAAGCTATTTTCTTTTGTAATGAAAAACACCTATTTATTCAGTGGTGGGAGAGAGTGGCTGATGCACTAAGTGCACCCTCCCATCCCCCACACACCTTGGGGATGAGGCAAGAAACAAAGAAGTACCGGAGAGTCCCATCCTCACGTTTGAATCCCAGCTTCATAGAGCTCTAGACAAGGTAACTCTGAGCTTCGGTTTTCTCATTGTAAAATGGGGATTATGTAATACATTGTAAGTAAAGTACTCAGCACAGTATTCAAAATACAGTGGATGCCCAATAAATAATCATCCTCCCACTTGGTTCCCTACTCTCCCTTCTGAAGTACATATAAAATATGTTGCTATTTATTTCATCTATTCCTCCAAAAAAGATTTGAAGTAGCAGACTAATAGCCTCAGCAGGGAAGACACATTTGCAAATCGATGACGATTTAGATTTTCTGTTTTAAGGGGAAAATTTTGTCTGCTTGGGCAAATTTTGTCTGCTTGTGCAAACACCCACTTCTGGCTAGGAAATCAGCAGGTCTAAATAGAGATAGAGCCTTGCAGTCCTCTGTGAAATTCAACCTGGAAATTAACAAGCACAGATATATATGAAGATCAACGTCTGTGGTTTCAACAAGGAAATGACTAGAATGAACCGGAGGAGAAAAAGCCTGAATGCATTCATTCATTATTCCTCCCTAAAAGTATTTGCTGCTCTGAAGTCTGGGCCACTCACTATGCAAGTGTGCATTTAGATAAAATTATTTACTGCTGTATTGCATTGATGGGACTAAAGGTTCTTTTTGTCTACCTATTTAGCTTGCTCAATGGAACTTTTTTTTTTTTTTTTTTTGAGATGGAGTCTCACTCTGTTGCCCAGGCTTGGGTGCAGTGGTGCAATCTCAGCGTGCTGCACCCTCTGCCTCCCGGATTCAAGCAATTCCCCTGCCTCGGCCTCCCAAGTAGCTAGGACTACAGGTGCATGACACCATGCCTGGCTAGATGGGGTTTCACCATGTTGGCCAGGCTGATCTCAAACTCCTGACTTCAGGTGATCTGACTGCCTCAGCCTCCCAAAGTGCTAGGATTACAGTAGTGAGCTGCTGTGCCAAGCCTCAAGCGGAACTATTAATAATACATAAATGAAAAAGAATTAAGGTCTCAATCATCCTGGTAATCTCTGAAGATGAGGATTTGACAAGGAAATATTGTTGACCAGACTCTTACAGGTCTAGACTTCAAAAGAGAACTGTGAGCATCAAAGAAACAGGGCATTTATTAAACATCTACTACGGGCTGGGCATACATTAGATATGCTGTCTTTTACAAATTTCGTGAAAATTCTCATAGGTTATTCCATCATACATACAAGAAAACTGAGGATCAGAGAAAGTATGTCACTTCTCTAAAATCTCACACATGGTGAGGAACTAGGATTTCAAACCAGGGCTGACTGAGACAGCACACCTCCTGTCGTAGCCATCATGGAGTGAGGCATCCCCTTCCTACTGCAAGGCACAGGTCAGGGACAATTCCTTACCCAACAGTGCGGGGCTGGGTTTGTGTGGCCTATGGAGATTCTCGTCCCTCTATCGCTGCCAACATCATGCCCATGCACACTGTCAGTGTCTAGCTGTGAGGAAGCAGAAATCAGACCTCCTCGACACTGTGCTGCTTCCCAATTAATGACGCTCAAAGACAGTAACATCAGGGTTAGCAGTTTAGCCTATTTGAAAGTTCTGGTTGAGATTTCCTGATTTCTAAAGTGCTGGAATTGGCCAGGCATGGTGGCTCATGTCTGTAATCCTGGCACTTTGGGAGGCTGAGGAGGGAGGATTGTTTGAGCCCAGGAGTTAAAGACCAGCCCAAGTCACATAGTGAGACCCTTATCTCTATTTTTAAAAAGTGCCAGAATATACACACCAGTGGATAATCAAATACCAGGATGATTTCAGATAGATGTGGTAAAAATGACGTCAAAACACATATCAAGAAGTTTATATCCTTCATGATTATCTTTCAATACTTCAGTTATATCAAACAGAAAATTGCTACTTGGGGCCACACTGCCCCTACACCTGACAGTTATTAATCCCCCTTTATAAGAGGGAACATGACTCAGACCCAGAGCTTTCTGCAGTCACAAATTAAGAATATTATTTAATTTTTCTTACATTTAAATGTATTATTAATGTTGCCTTCTATTTATGATGTGATCTTGGTTTTCCATGTGCGATTTCTTTTTAAAAATGAATGTATATTAAGTAGAAAACAATGGGCCAATTAAATAAAAAATATCAAGTAAATGATAGCAGTGTACACAGAGATGCCAAAAAAAAATGTGAAAGCGATTTTCAAACAATTGAAGTTTGAGGAACAATGCATGAGTGTAAACCACAGAGCAGTTTCAAGTCTTCACAGAAAAAAAGGGAAGAGACAGTGAATTAAAGCCAACTATCCTTAGTCTTAGGGAAATGACTACTATTCTTTATACATATATATAGTTTTTTGGAAATGGAATCTCACTCTGTTGCCCAGGCTGGAGTGCAGTGGCGCAATCTCAGCTCATTACAACCTCTGCCTCCGGGTTCATGCAATTCTCCTGCCTCAGCCTCCTGAGTAGCTGGGATTACAGGTGTCCATCACTATGCCTGGCTAATTTTTTTGTATTCTTAGTAGAGATGGGGTTTCACCATGTTGGTCAGGCTCATCTTCTGACCTCAAGTGATCCGCCCACCTTGGCCTCCCAAAGTGCTGGGATTACAGGTGTGAGCCACTGCGCCCGACCTAATATTCTATTCAAATAGTACCAAAGAGAACACACCTGAACCCTTTTCCAAAAACAGGAAAATTTAATCAAGATTAGAAGAGATACGTACTTATGGTAATTCGTCCCTCAAAGGCATTGGGCAGGTCTGTGACTGATGCACAATCTTCTCCAGGTGGAGCTATGGGGTAGGAAAAAAAACATGAGAACCCTTCAAAATATGAGCAAAATCTATGCTAATTTTTATTAGTCAGTTAGAATGGAGTTTTATTATAACTTATCCCAAATAATTTTCTTTTTCCAAAGCTCCGTAAGTTGGCTAGGAATTTCTGTCTTTCGTGATGCATTTTCCATTTTTATTTGACTTCATAAATTTCTGGAAACTTATGAGGTTTCCAGAAATTCCCCACCCCAGTGAATACATTCATTAATAACTATACATTCTATATCAGGCACTGTAAAAGGAGTACAATTTTAAATATGATAGACATGGCTCCTTCTCTAATGCAAATACATAAGGGAGGATTTTTTTAAATTTATGATTATAAAAGTAATGCAGGAACATTGTAAAATAATTAAAAGTAATGTACGAACTATCATGAGAAAATATAATCTGAGAAATCTATAGAAATGATGAGAAAACATGGCAGACACACAATAAAATATTTTCAACATGAACAGCATGACAATCTGAAGTTTAAAATAACCAGCAAAGAATTTACTTGGTTGAAACATTAAAAACCAAATGAATCTCTAGTTTCTTATTAATGCAGTAATGTATTTATTAACTTAGCTGATCTTTTGAAGTGCTTACTCTGTATAGACTGCTTCTCAGCATGTTGCCTCTGAGGTTGACCACCTTTGGCCTAGATGCCCGGAAGATTTTTCAAGGTTACTGTTTTGGCATATCTCATCATGGGCATTTCTGGGTTTTTTTCTCTTGCTCGCCATTTATCCTCTACTCTTTCATCTCTTTCTTCAGGAATAAAGATTTCTGCCTGAATCTTGGGCCTGACTGATCACCCACAGATGTTACTGGTAGCCCTCTGAGCAGCCCTGTCTCAAGCACCCTGAAAACAGGCTCTGAAACTTCCACCCTGCATTCCATTCCTCGTGTCTTAAAAGCAGACTGCAAAGTAGCTGAAGCAAGCTTCCATTCATGCCGAAGTGCTTTATTCTGAGACTAGACCTTGTACTGAGCTCTAAAATCTCAGAAAGCTTTAAACTGGTTTTGCTGCTATAGAAAGATTAAGTCCATTTGTGCCTTACAGCTTTTATACTGTGTGTGTGTGCGTACTTAAATGTAAAATGGAAATTTATTTGCTAGGTTAGTTTCTCCCAGAATTGCTTCTGTCAAAGAAGAAGAAAGAGATGGATGGACGGGTGGATAGCTGGATAGAGAGAGGGAGAAAGGAAGAGAAGCAGGCAGTCAGACAGACTACTATCACAAGTATTTTAAGTCTCCTGCTATAATATAGGTATATATATTTTTTGAGACAGAGTTTCACTCTGTTGCCAGGTGCCAGGCTGGAGTGCAGTGGCGCAATCTTGGCTCACTGCAACCTCCGCCTCCTGGGTTCAAGCAATTCTTCTGCCTTAGCATCCCAAGTAGCTGGGACTACAGGCTCGCACCCCCATGCCCAGCTAATTTTTGTATTTTTTTAGTAGAGACGGGGTTTCACCATGTTGGCCAGGATGGTCTCGATCTCTTGACCTCATGATCCGCCCGCCTCAGCTTCCCAAAGTCCTGCTATAATTTTTGTGTGCTTGTAAAAGTGGATAAAAACACAGCTTGAACAAAACAGGTTTTGCTTGCTTCCTAGTACCTGGGAACATCTGTTCCCACAGATAAAGAGGATAACCTTTACCTGCCCATTTATTTGGCCTCATAGTGAAACTAACTGGCAGTTTTATACATTCAACTGGAAAACACAAAACGTTTTAGGAAAAGCCATTCTTGCAAAGCCTGTTCTAAAAGATTTCTCAGATTTCTTTAAAGAGAAATATCACCTCCTTGGAGAGGCCCTTCCTTACCATTCAATCTAAACTCCTTCATTACTCCCCCACACCTGTCACCATCACATAGCATCTTGCTCTCATTTCTTCTTCATGTTTACCACTGTATAACCTTATCTTGTTCATCTTACTTGATGGCTGCTCATGGCACAGCTCTCAATCCCCACCTCCTGCTATCTGCCTCCCTCCCTAGAAATATACAAGCTCCACAGATAATAACTTTATCTGTCTTGGCCAGAGCATTTCTGTGTAATGGGGATAGAGAAACATGCAATAAATATGTGTTGAATGCATGAAAAAAGAAAAAAGTGCCAATATGATTTCCCAAGGGCCTATTCTTCCAGTAAGCACACCTAAGATGTTAACCCCCAAAATGGCCTGTAAATATGTGCAGGCCAAGCATTTGGATAAACCCTAAATGGTAATGCCATAAGAAATAATTAAAGGAAGTTATAGATATACTCTTCATTTGTTATTTTTAAGCATCTACTCAACTCTTATATGCCAGATCATATAGAAAGAGAAAAGAAGATGAATATGTTTCTGTCCCTGCTTCTGAGGAATTCACAAGGTCATGGGGGGCAGTAATAATTAATATTAATTTAGCTTTTTACAGTTTTCAAAAATGTTTTCCAAAATTATTGCACTTGAAAATAAGGGCATACTGCCAGCCTGGGAGATTTGGGGGAGTATCTATCTTGTTTCTCTTGGAAATATCAACCTATGAGATGCTTCTGATGTTTGTATGTTGTGCATACCTGGAAACAGGCTTTAGAGTATGGCTTCTTGATGTCAGGGATGGAACAATCTCCCCCAACTTCATACACAACTGCAAGTAAGAGTACATTGGGAATTTCCAGGCAGCAAGTTGTAATAGAATGGGGCATGATGTCAAAAATCCTAAGACAGTTTTGTAAATTATTAGAGCATTTGTTCACATGGACACACTTCATGCTCCAATTCACTTTAACTTTTATAAAAAACATCAAATCTGGCAAATATGTTTAGTGGATGGTGATACAAATGTGCAATTAACACATTCAGGCTCTCATGTTAGATTCCAGGGCCTCATTAGACAGCCTTTCTTTCCATTTAATGAGCTCTGTACTACTTGGAAAGCTAGACCTGGTGAGGTGTTCTTGAATCTGAGGACTTGTTAGAAATTCTCTGAGGTGGGCATTCTCATAAACCTTGGTTTCAACACACGAAAATAACCAAGAGAAACATTAATTATTCAGTCTAGCCACTAATCTCTGGGTGTCAGATAGAAAGCCACCCTCCTCAATTCTTGATACATTCTAGGTATCTCATAAATGTTCTCAAATAGTTGTTGAATAAAGGAGGAAATGGATAAATAAATACATGTAGATCTTCCCTGTAATTCTACGTTCAAAAGAAAATGAGGCACTTAACTGAAAGTAAGCTTAATAAATGAATGAATTCAAGTCAGTTCTGTGTTCACACAGAATTCTCCAGGCTCATATTGGGCCTTAACCACTGAGAATGAGGAAAAAAAAAAAAATAATCACAAAGGCCTTTTCAAGTTCTGCCTTATTTTCATTTGTTAGCCAGAGGCCATGTTTCTAAAAATATTGCTAAAACTTTAAGCTTGTGGGAGCTATCTACTAAGATCAAGCTGACTTTTGTCCCTATAGCCGTTTTATGGGGGGGATCACAGCACTGGGACAGGACCACCTGCTAGCAGCCCTCAGGCTAAATTAGAAACAAGGATCCTTGCAATGAAATCCTTTGCATAGGGCAGTTTATCAAAATCTTTAGCTCACTTAATACCCATATCAACTGACTCTAATCCAAGACGTTTAGAATTTATTTTTCCTTAAACACATCTTTCCTCTTCTCCAGTTTCTTTATTTTTTTGTCTCCTTGCTTCAACAAGATTGTTAACTTCTTTAAGAAATGTAGCCTCCAGTTTTTTCACCCCATCTGTGCCTAGTGCAGTACTGAGCACATAGAGGTGATCAATAAATATTCCCTTTAAACTTAAATAAAAACTTATAAAAGTAGCCATCAATATTGAGTCAATTTGGAAAACAGAGAAAAGGAAAAACATTACTTCTAGCTTTACTATTTAATTCATCCATGTTAGTAAGCAATATACCCCCCACTGTACCTCTCAAACCTTTCAACTGAACTAACTCTCCAAGGAGAAAAAAACTAATCAATGCTCTTACTCCCAACTCCAGGGATGGGCACAACCTCATGAAGAAAATTAAGGATAGAAATAAGTCTCAGTAGCAGGCTGCCTAGATGGCTCTGACGCCAGGCAATAAAACAGTGTGAGCTTCTGCTGTTTGGGTTGAGGTTCCTTCTGGCAAGTGAGACCAAATTGTAAAACAGGTAAGACAATGTGGGTATGCAACTACATAACTTACTGCATGCATTCACTCAGCAAGGCTTAATGGGAGACGCAATAAACAGGTCCCAGAGACTCAGGAGTGTACGGCCTGCCTTTTCCCACTGAGCCAACCTCTTCATCTAAAGTACAAGCTTTTCCCAATGTCTCCCTCTGACCTGTTGCACTGAGATGGAGCTAGCTAGACCACATGTTGCTCTGTGTCTATTTCTTGCTTGTTTATATGTGGTTTTCTCATTATAATATCATTAGAATGACATGCTAGACATGGGTATGGGAAATGAGTATGCATGAGTCATGTACTATTTAGTGTTAATTGGACTACCTTCCCTTTGGTCAAACTCCATTTGTGTTCTTCACCCACATAACAGGGAGGAGTAAACATTCTACAGTTTTCTGTTCCTCTCCATAGGTTTAGTGACCTGTAAATTTTTGTCAAAATCTACTGGCTTCATGCACTCCATTTCAACTGCCAGTCCTGATACTTTGTCCTAAACTGTAGATTTCTTCTCTGAATTTCCACTCTGATCCCTACTGTTCATACAACAAAGGGTGGGTGGTATAGACGAAAGCCACTGATGCAATCTAGCAATTAATTTTAATTTTTGTTTTTTTTATTAGTAGGCAAAATATCTCATAATTAATTTGATGTCCTTTTTTTAGCTTAGAAATCCATGCATATTTTAAATTGTACTCTCTCTCTGTGTGTATATATATAATATATACAAAATATATATTTTTTATATATATATCTGTGTTTGTCTCAGGCTGCTAATGTTTTAAGCCCCTTTCCACCTAATTTAACATCCCCTTCCCACCTTTAAGGACAACTGACACTCCAGCAAGATGTACCAAGTTTACCTCAAGACTTCATCTTTTCCTTCACACAACTTCAAACCTTCCATGGGAACAGAAGGCCCAGTTTAAGAGTTAAGACTTTTGATAGCTGGCATCCAGAAATTTGACGTTTATAATTTTGATCCTTCTCAAAAAAATCTGAAAATTTGATGCATAGAATTCTATAATTTTGCTAGGACTTGAATTAGGCTCATAAGCAGGATTTTCTAGGTTAATGGTTGGGAGAATGTCCCAAAGACATGGAGAAAGGCTGGCCTGGGACCCAGCATCTACACCTTAACTTAGGTTTCTTCTTCTCTGGTTCTCTCAGCTGTTGGGTAAGGGATATTTAAGAAGCTCAAAGGCATACCATATACTCTCCAAGACTTTTTTCCAGTCCTCTCATATAATAAATACCTCTCAGCTAAGACATTTGACTCACACCCCAAAGCTATCATTAGATTCATGTCACTCCCTTATTCAAAACCTGTAATGGCTTCCTATCACATTGAGAATGAATCACCCCCTGTGAGCGGGCCCTTGCTTAGCTCTCTGACTTTATTCCTTGGCATTCTCCCCTGTGAGCACTGATATTCTCAGAACAGGCTGAGAGGCACTTTCCCTGACCACCTTCTCAGAAAATAAAAGTATCCCTAGTACTAGTTGGCCGCGTATTCTGCTTTCTTTTTTATAGTACTTGTATCACTTTCTGACTTCAGGCTTGTCCGACCTGCAACTTGCAGGCCACATGTGGTCCAAGATGACTTTGAACGTGGTCCAACACAAATCCGTAAACTTCCTTAAAACATTATGAGATTTTTTTGAGCGATATTTTTTGTTTGTTTTATAGCTTATCAGCTACTGTTGGTCTTTGTGTAATTTATGTGGGGCCCAAGACAATTCTTCTCCCAGTGCAGCCCAGGGAATCCAAAAGATTGCACACCCCTGAAGGGTATTTAATATTTATTTGTTTATTTGGCTCTGTTTATTTATTTTTGAGACAGAGTTTCGCTCTTGTTGCCCAGGCTGGAGTGCAATGGCCTGATCTCGACTCACCACAACCTCTGCCTCCCCGGGTTCAAGCGATTCTCCTGCTTCAGCCTCCCGAGTAGTTGGGATTACAGGCATGTCCCACCACACCTAGCTAATTTTTTTGTATTTTTAAGAGAGATGGGGTTTCTCCATGTTGGTCAGGCTGGTCTCGAACTCCCGACCTCAGGTGATCCGCTCACCTCAGCCTCCCAAAGTGGTGGGATTACAGGTGTGAGCCACCGTGCCAAGCCTGTATTTAATATTTATTTGTTTATTGTTTGCCTCCCCAATTCAGCGTTTAAGCTCCGTGGAGACAGGAATGTTGTCTCTGCTATACAGATATTGAGTGAGCATTTGTTATGTAAGTAGAGGCTACATGAATCCCCACTTAAGCTGAGATCCAAAGACCAGGCTCCCAAAGCCTTTCATGCCAACAGACACCCCGCCTGAGAACCAACCTGAAGCATTGAAGCAATATGTGTCATACTGGGAGGTGTTGGACGTGAGAATGTACACCCCTGTGTTGTTTGCTGCACAGATGGAGTTGGGGTGGATCCGGGGAATCACCACGTGCCCTTCTATGAATCCATACCTGCAAGAGAAAAACAAGAGGATATTGACCTGAAAGGCTAAGATGGGAATTTCATAATATCTCAATGAATGACATTTAATGCCATGCAATTCTTCACTCAATTCACCCTTAGGGATATCAGAGGTTTCAACAACCGAATTATGTGAAATCCAAAAATAACAGCACAGAGAGGGAAAGAGATCAACAAGACTGATAGAAACAAAGTGATTTTATTTAGACGCCTGTAAAGAGCTTTTTTATTTAAAAAAATCATAAAAGGGATAATTAGTTCAATCGAAATTTGTGGTCAGCAGTGGTGAGCCAATTTGAACAAGCAGAAGGAAGCCTGAGTCACAGAAGAGAAAAATTTTGATGTGCAATTCATGCTGGCTTTGGGTTACCTTCATGTTTTCCAGAAAATACACAAAATGGTCAGCTTCCATAAAGAGGAAGAGGTACTTCTTCATTTCAGTACACACATTTCAGACCTGCCTCATGTCCCATTTCCCTGCTTATTTCTCAGACACAAGTCTGCAAGCCCCCTTACTCCATACTCCATTATCCTAAACACGAAGCCTTGTTCATATGCAAAGTACACAGCACACTGTCTCCTGAGCATCCCAGGTATAATTCTATTGCCAGTGGGGATAAATTAGCCATCATTACAATGGGAGTCATAGCAATTAAGTAAGCAGATAGCAACGGCTCATGTAGCTCAGGAACTTTCCAGAAGCAGCACATCCAAAAAAATGTTTAACCCCTCTCTCCCAATTAACCAAGGTTTGTCTGAGAGCTTGTTACAGCTGGAGGCCCTTTCAGATACCAGAGCCCAGCCTCTTCTAGCAGTATCCTGGTGGCTAAAAACTCGCTTATTACACATTTTTTAAAAAAATATAAAATGCCTCAAAAAATGAGATGTGGGCTGAGAAAATGTTGTGTGCAAGGGAAGCTGTGATACAGCAGGAGAACAGAGAGGAGGAAGCTAAATCCAGCAGGTGTTTGAAAATATAATTCTTGCTAAAATGCACAGCATCAATGCTTTTCATCTTTCCTGCCAGGGGAACAGCATGGAACCCATCACCCTGCAAGACCCTTGGAAATGTCTGTGAGTTTGAAGTTTCCAGGCACACAAAACTCATATCTATGTGGCAATTGTAGCTCACATGACTAATTTCTCATCTGAACAGACAGACTGGTTTCCCCAAGGTCTCCTTAGCTTGGCAGGGGGAGCAGGCACAATTAAGTGGTAATAAGTTTTCATGTTATCTGAGAGTTGCTACCAATCAGGGTGGGGCAGACAAAAGAGAGTAGCTGTTAAGGTTTTATCCTAGCCCATGAGACTCTGCCATCTGTCCTATGGCAGAAAGCTGATTCATAGCTACCTGAGTGAAATTATGGAAATGCGTTTTGCAATACTTAATACCAGTTATTGGTGACATGATAGATTTCTTTGGCACAGATTTTCTTTTTCTAACTAATACTCCTTGGTGAACCTACCTGCCAACTCACCCCATCACATCTTATTGTCAAGTATGGATAGCCCCGACATTCTAGAATAGATTGTACTCTTTGTAAGCTATTACTGAGTTTTTGCCTCTTCATGTTGCCTGGCAGTTTTCTGTGTCATGCTAACTGTGAACTGGGGATATTAAAGTTTATATGTGTGTATGTGGCATGAGTAAGTTACTGATCACGGGGAACAAGGAATATTCAGCAAATCCAGGCAGCATCCTTTCTCTCCTTTTAAGTTCCCAAGGAGGCCTTAGTCATTAAAATCCTGTCCTGGGCTCAGGCTAAGGAGATCCAGAATCCCAAATCCTCCATGGGCAGGCTGTGTGTCCCAGGGTGTGGAATTTCTCTAAGCCTCAGTTGCTTCATTCATAAAATGAGCTGATAATATTGACCAATAGTGTAGTTTGAGGATTAAGTGAGGGGTTTGGCCAGGTGGGCAGTAGGTCTCCAGCATCTCAGTGCTTGATGATCGGACAGTGGCAGTTGTAAGAACTCCCCTGGTCCTCAGCATATGGGAGCATTTCTGTATTTTTCAAATATGCCTTGTTTGTATTTCACAATCAAAGTTCGGTTTACTAAATTCATTTTCTTAGACCAGTAGCCTAGTCAGGGCCATATTTAAATAATTAGCCTTGGGAATAGAATAACGGATTTGCTAATTGGCCTGTTTTCACTGCAGCCTACAGTACAGGTTCAGTAGCCACCAGAGCTTTCTCCCTTCCTCTGCTCCTTTCATATTCTCCCAGACCTAGCTCTGAACACATACAGATGTCTATATACATCTGCTCTTTATTTTAGAGCAGTGCTGCTCAACAGAACTTTCTACAATGATGGAAATGTTTTATAACCTGCATCATCCAATACAGTAGCCACTGGCTGTTGATGGCTGGGCACTTAAAATGTAGTTAGTGGCCAGGTGCAGTGGCTCACACCTGTAATACCAGCACTTTGGAAGGCTAAGGCAGGCGGATCACGAGGTCAGGAGTTCGAGACCAGCCTGGCTAATATGGTAAAACCCTGTCTCTACTAAAAATACAAATATTAGCCGGGCATGGTGGTGGGCTCAGTGGCGGGCGTCTGTCATCCCAATTACTCAGGAGGCTGAGGCAAAAGAAGGCTGAGGCAAAAGGCAGAGGTTGCAGTGAGATAAGATCACGCCACTGCACTCCAGCCTGGGCCGCAGAGCAAGACTCTGTCTCAAAAAAAAAAAAAAAAAATGTATTTAGTGCTAGTGAAGAACTCAAGCTTTAATTTTAGTATTTTAATTAATTTAAATGTAAGACAAAAGATTTTCCTTTTCTCTTTCAGCAAAAGTCTCAGCCATTGCTCGTAATGTGGGTACATGACTCTATAACCAATGTAGGGGGACAGAAGCGCTTAACTTAAACTTAATGGTTTCCGTAAACAGTTCTGCCACTTGGCTTTTCAAAAGCAGTCTGTGTGCATGTGAGTGTGCGTTGCAGAGAAAGGAAAATTGTACCACCTAAAGACGTTGCAAAAGCACAGCTGCAGGCTGGGGTAGAAACTTCAGAGCAGTTGTAGAGATTACTCAGACCTCTTCTAGTGAAAACAAACCAAACCAAAACAATTCACCGCGACCACCACAATGGCTTGCTCCCCTTGTGCACTGCTTACCACAAGGCCATTGGAAATTCAACAAATAAAGTCCTTACTTGTGATTATCTTGGAGCCATAGTTTGAGGAAGACTCTATGGAGCACTAAGATACCGGTGGGAGCCTTCTCAGGCTCCCAGTAATAATAAATCTTAATATAATATAGCTTAATAACTTTCATGCCTTTTTATTTACTTTCTCAAACCAGAGAAACATAGAAGAAAAAACAAAAAAAAAATATTTTTTCAGTGAGAGCAAGAGAGAATTGCTTGAAAAGTCTGCTTTGAGCCAAGTCTGCAGGCCCAAGACTCTCAGCCACATATTTATTTTAAACACTGTTATTTGGTTTATGTTCTGTGGTTCTGACAATGATACTGCAGCTTCTTCAAAGCCAGGAGAGCTCTGTGGAAGCAGGTTAGACAAGAGGGTTTCAGCCGAGAGGACCCCTAATGGCTTCCTCTGGGCTCCCACTCTATGATTCACACAGGTGTCTTTAGCTGACTTTAAACTCCAGTTGTCATACAGGTTCCAGATTGACTTGGCCAAATTAATAGGTGGGGTTGACTCTCTAGGCCATAATCCACTCAGCTGAAGGAGAGGACCCTTCTAATTCTAAGCCCAGCTCCCTGGGCCCAGACCACCAGCTTTCCCCAGTGGTTGGGTGCTGATCTCTTACCTGCAGGTCTCAAACCCGCTGCTCAGAGCTTTCTCCATCTGGGCCATTGTGGGCAAGGTGCTATTGAAAGCCTTGCAGAGGTCAGCTGCCTCCGTCCGAGAGATGCTGTAGCGACCATTTTTCTCCACGTGGTATACACCTTCGAAGCGGCAGGTTATATTCAAATCTGTGGGAAGAAACAGAAATGTCAGGTTCTTTTGCATAAATAACTTGGAGACAGTTAGAAGTTTGCTTTAGGACAGACTCCTTAAAAAGCCAAACTTCTCTAGCAGCCAGAATCTTTGAAATTCACTCCAGCATCCCAAAGCACCATAGCATTAAGCTCAAACCTGAGATAAGACATGGTAAAATAGTGTCACACTTATGTTCTCTCCATTGCTTGATGTGCAACAAAGTTTTTAAAAAGTAAATGATTTAATTTTGATTATTGATGTCACACAAACTTATGGTAAACTTACAAAACACAAGAAAGCAATGAAGGAAAATAAGTCCACCACTACAACAACTATAGCAAACACTTTTCTGTATCTTCTTCTAGTTTATTTACTGAATGCACACATTCACATGTGCACACACACACACACACACACGTACTTTATGCATATATACATAAAGTATGTATGTACACACACACAGACACACACATATATATACTCACACATGTGCTTGCATAATTGAAATAGTACTGACTAGACAGTTCTAGATTTGAGGGTCCTTTTTCCACTTAATCTCATGTTATGAGCATTTTTCCACAATCAAGTGGTATCTCTCCCTGGCTTACAACGTCTAAGAGTTTATGTTTGCACTCGGTATAAATGTTCTTATCATGGCTAAAACCAACATAATCTGGCTCCTGGCTTCCTCTCTAACCTCAAAGTAGCTTGCTCTGCTCTAAGCACAAAACTTTCCTTCAATTCTCTCAGAACCTTTGAGCGCCTTCCCATTCTGGAACACTTGTATCTGCCTTCTTCTCTGCCTGGAATGTTCCATCCTCAAATGGTCACATAGGTGGTTCATTTTTTTGGTCATTCAGAATTTTAACCCCACTTCACCTCACTTTAGAATGCTCTCCTAAACACCCTTAGCTTATCCCCAGTCTCTCCCTCACCTCATTTGGATTTTGTGTCTCCACAACAACGTGTTCATTGGTGTGTGTGGTTACTATCTTTCTCTCCTTCCCGGAATGAAAGCTCTGAGAAAGGAAGGGCCGTTTACCTGCTTGTGGCTGTTATCCCTAACCCCTACAACAGTGCTCGGTAGAGAGTAGATGCTCAACAAGCATGTATTATACAAACAAATGACTCATTGGAATTTCATCAAAAACACACTTTTAACATATTGGCAGACCCAAAGCTTGTCGTTTGCTCTCAGAGTTAACGGCATTGAAAATGAAGCCTAACTGCTATCAACTGGGTAGAAAATTATTCAAGACAAGTACTTTAGTGAATTTCGTAGACATCAATCTCAAATTTCAGTAAAGAGGTAGAAATAATCCTGTTCTACTTGATCCTGTGTAACAATCTCAAAAGACTTCAAAGGCCTGATTGAAAACTCCTAGGACTATATGATCCCCGGTTTATACTTGAGGAAACTCCACACAGAAGAGTTAAGTCATTGAAACTATCCTGGTGAAGCTTGATTCCTCCTGAACACTTCCTTGGGCCTCAGTGACAGTCCTTCTCTAAGGAGACATGTTAACATTGTCTTGGGACAATGACCCAGGTACCTGGCCAGGCATCACTCTTTGTTGCTAGTTAAGAACCAGGTCTGGAATCAGACAGAACTGGCATTAGCCCAGCTCCATCTCTTCCTCACACAGGTCTAAAGGTGGGTAGAAAGGTTCTACTTATTTATCAAAAAGAAAATTGAGGCTCAGGGAAGTGAGTTGCCCAAGGAAGTGAGTGAATACTTCTATCTAGAGCCTATAGTCTCCTTCCTGAATCCCAGCTGCTCTTTTCTGTATTTCTGAGCTGACAGCGATAGGAGAGGAGACCGTATTACTACAGCATCCCTGGGTACCCAGTACCTTTGAGATTCTGTGTTACATAGTCTTCACCAGAACCCTGAGAGGTGAGTTTCATGTATGTGTGTATTATTTATGGGTGAAGCCCAGAAAAATTAAATGACTCCCCAAAGTCACTCAGCTCTTAAGTGGCAGAGCCAGAAATCTCAGACCTGTTTAACATCCAAACTCATGCTTTGAACCTCTTTCCTATGTACCCAAGTTTCCTTTTCTATCATTAGCACAACTGAAGAAAGGAGAGTGGAGCACTTCAACAATTGTTAAATAACGACAAATGTAGAATCACTATTACTGAATTGTGAGGGCAACCATTGCCTTCTCCTTCCTGAGCAGGAAGCAGGTCCCAACCACTAGGAAACAGTATCTAACAAATGCAAAATGAGATAAGAAAACTGTTAAAAGTCTGCATTATCTTCCTTGATTCTGAAAATAGTAAAAGAAGAAACAAGAAATGGAACTTGAAAAGACATAAACCAATGTCTATTATTTTTCCTTTCTTTTGTTTGCATCATTAGCACCTGGGGGAAAAATAGCAACTAGGTGAAATGGAGAAAATGTGTTTTTGCAGTTCACTGTCTTTCAAGCCTAATGGTGTCCTCTTAAGTCACTCATGTAACACTTGGCTGATGGGGCAATACGAGCATAGAGAAGGAAATGCACAAGGCTCTTTTGCAATACTATTTGTTTTTACTAACATTTTCAACTTTGACCTCAGTTGGCCAGCCTTAAAAGGGAAACTGTCAATCTGCATGACAGACCTTCCGGGGCCTCTCTTAGACCAGCACACAAAAGGAAAACAAAGCATTCCAATTAGGTTCTTGAAGATAAGGCTGGTAGAGGAGCCTCCAGTTCTAGGAGAGGCAAACTACCTGTCTGCCCCTGGCCCAGGTGGCTGCTGTCACTCTCAGGTTAAAAATCAGCTCTGAAGCATGGACAACAATTGGAGCTAAATGGTAGTTTCTTTCTTATTACAGTCAATTCTGCCTTGCCACCTGGCAGATAGAATATGCAAATGTAAGAGGAACAAATTGAGGCTGAGATTTTTCAGTAAAATCCCTTGAGTTTCATATCCCACAGCCAATGTAACTTCATTGACAATACATACATGCATTGTGTGAGTGTGTCTACATGAGGGGTCTTCAAAAAGTTCTTAAAAAATGTGTGTTATGAAAAAGCTATACACAGATTTCAATCTTTTGCACCAAAATAAACTCACACTAACTTGCTATGTCTGAACCAGATCTAGTTTGAGGCACTAACAAGGATAAGATTGAAAAGATCCTCTCTCAGAGCAACATGAATTCTGCTAAAATTAAAGCAAGAACGCCCATCAAATTTTTTGGTGGAGCTTAGGTGGAAGAATGGCAAAATCATTGATGCCTTATGAAAAGTTTATTAGGACAATGCCCCCCCCCCAAAAAATAAGCAGCTTACAAACAGATAACTTGTTTGAAGAAGGGATGAGATGGTGTTGAAGATGAAGCCTGCAAGTGATATGCCATGCACATCAATTTGGGAGAAAAAAAATTAATCTTATTTGTGACTTAAATGAAGAGGACCAATGATTAACAGCAGAAACAATGGCCAGCATCATAGAGATCTCAATTGCTTCAGCTTACACAAATCTGACTGAAAAATGAAAGTTGAGCAAACTTTCCACTCAATGGGTGCCAAAATCATTGCACCCAGTTCAGCTGCAGCCAAGAGCTGAGCTTTCAATGGAAATATTAAACAAGTGGGATCAAGATCGTGAAGTATTTCTTTGAGAATTGTAACAGGAATTAAAACATGGCCTTACAAGTGTGATCCTGAAGACAAAGCACAATCAAACGAATAGCTACCAAGAGGTGGAAGTGGTCCAGTCAAAGCAAGCAGGCCAGTCAAGAGCCAAGGTCATGGCAGCAGTGGTTTGAGATGCTCAAGGCATTTTGTTTCTTGACTTTCTGGAAGGTCAAAGAATGATAACATCTGCTAATTATGAGAGTGTTTTCAGAAAGTTAGCCCAAGCTTTTGAAGAAAAGTGTATCAAAAAGCTTCACCAGAGAGTCTTCCTCCACCATGACAATGTTCCTACTCATTCCTCTCATCAAACAAAGGCAATTTTTTGAGAATTTCTATGGGGAAACTACTAGGCATTCACCTTACAGTCAGAATTTGACTCTTTCTTTTTTTTTTCTGTTACCTAATCTTTAAAAATCTTTAAAGGGCGCCCGTTTTTCTTTAGTTAACAATGTAAGAAAGACTGCATTGACATGATTAAATTCCCAGAACCCTCAGTTCTTTAGGGATGGACTAAATGTCTGCTATAATAGCTCATAACAGTGTCTTGAACTTGATGGAGCTTATGCTGAGAAATAAAGTTTATATTTTAAAACTTTTATCATTTAATTTCATTTTTCCATGAACATTTTGAATTCTCCTCATACTCATGTGTGTGTATGCAAGTGAGTGTGTGGTTGTATGTGCATGTGATCAGCCAAGACAGGATGAAACAGATAAACTCAATCTTTAGCCTTCCTAGGCGTGAAGGCTTAACAGGTCCTGACACATTGTGGATATCTGCAAAGGGCTACTGATTAGATGAAGAAATCCTATGCAAAGTAAAAATGCTACAGCGTACTTTTATCTTAATCTCAAGAAAAAGTCCAACTCCTAACCCTGATGCTATTTAGCCACTTAGGAGTTGAAAGAATGGTGTCAAATACTTCATTTCAGGTCAACTGTCCTGTAAGTGTTCACACTCCTTCTCCTCTAGACTTAAAAGGAACCAACACTTTCAACGTTGTGTGTCACTCAAATCCTGATAATTTATGAAGACATTACTTTTTTATTATTATTATACTTTAAGTTCTGGGGTACATGGTAGAACGTGCAGGTTTGTTACATAGGTATACACATGCCATGGTGGTTTGCTGCACCCATCAACCCATTATATACATTAGGTATTTATGCTAATGTTATCCCTCTCCTAGCTCCCCAACTCCCAATAGACCCCAGTGTATGATGTTCCCCTCCCTGTGTCCATGCGTTTTCATTGTTCAACTGCCACTTATGAGTAAGAACATGCAGTGTTTGGTTTTCTGTTCCTGTGTTAGTTTGCTAAGAATGATGGTTTCCAGCTTCATCCACATCCCTGTCAAGGA